ATATCCACTCATCGCTCCAGAGAATAAAGGAAAGATAGCAACCAAATCTTTAGTGAGGCTGAATGAAAATCTTAACTGGATCGATTTGTGTGCTTTTCAGTGTGGGACTAGGGGGTGGGGGTTGGTGGGGGCTTGTCCCCGTTGTGAAGTGCTGATGAATCTGCCTCCAAACTGGCTGCAAGCCAGTATCACTGAAGAGTGAATTTCTCTACTCACGAGGGACCACTTCCCCATTCCCCAAAAACAACCCACTTATGTCCCACACTTTCACTAGCTCTCTCTCTTCATCTTGTGCTTCCTCTCTTTGCTTTTAAATATTTAAGATTAACAAAATCAAAAAATCAAAAATAAATAATAATAAACAGCATTTTGAGGATAAATACATTTTAAGAGAACTAAAATTTGGGTTTAAGCTGGTAAAATATCTAAATTTAAGAAATCTTTTTTTTTTCAAAGAATGTTGAAAACAATAACAGAGTGTAGTGATATTTCTCATGAGCATTTTAGTTTAATATTCTAACATTGCTTTGTAAACAGTGAAATTTAGGGAATTAAATCATGAATATTAAAACTAATTTAACACAGAAACCGCTATAAACAACATGTTTATTAAAAGCCATAACTGTAGAATATTGATTAATACACTAATTATATAATCACTTAAATGGAATGAGAAATACTGAATATCTTTTTTTTTCAGGGTAGAAAAAATAATAGTTACAACAACTCGCATTGACAGTAGGGATGTAGGCAGAGGTGTAGGCAGCACAATAACTGGCATGTATCGCTTGTGTACAGGCATGACAAACACACATTCACACACACTCAAAGAGTACAGAACTCTCGTATACAGTCGGCCTTTTCTCTCTCATCTGCTCATCACCTCTACATGCACCTTTTTGTAACTCTTGACTTCCACAATAAAACACGCAAGCAAGCACTCTCGCTTTACAACAAAAACAGAGAAAAAGTTTACCACTTTCTCTCTGATCCTCTCCCCACCCTCTCTGCTTCCTCCACATTCCAGTTTCTCCTTGAAAACATTAAGAGGCAGTCTGTCGGGGAAAGCGAGAGGAATTAGGAAAGAAAGCATCCCTGAGCCAGGTGAGATTACTCCCCTCAACTGAGTCCATTACTTAACAGGGTCAGTAGTTAGAGGAGCCAGATCCGTTCAGCACAAAGACCCCTGAACCAGCAGGCTCTTTTCTGTACAGTGGCGCAATAACTCGGTGTGCTGACTCCAAAGATGGTCTTTGAAATTAAACTCCCCCTTTAGTTGCTGTTTTACACAATAAAACTCCCTATTTATTTATTTTCCAACATATTGTATATGTTCAACTTGCCTTGGTTTTGACAATGACCCTGCAAACAGGCATCTTCCTGTCACCAAAGGTTGAAACAGTCACGCTTCCTGTGACTGCTCCATCTTAGTCAGCACTAGCTGCACCGATCGTGTTGGCACTGCCCTGGGCTCTGCTCTATCTGCCGAGAAAAGATGGTGGGTGTCTCCCTAACCACATATCCTCTTTCACTCTCCTCTTCTCCACTCCACCCTTCTCTTTCTCTCAACCAAGGCCAGCCAAGAGTCGTTTCATCTCGCACCCACACACACATGCAGCACAGAGAGGGAAAAAAGGAAAACAGACACTTCACTATAATCACATGTACACACGCTCCTGTACATGCACGCACACATACACCTGATCCCAAAAAAAAGAAAGAAAGAAAGAAAGAAAGAAAGAAAGAAAGAAAGAAAGAAAGAAAGAAAGAAAGAAAGAAAGAAAGAAAGATGGAACAAACACATGATCAGTAGGCTACAGAAGATCGCAAAATGAACTGAGCTTCAAATCAATCAATATAAAATAAAAATATATAAAAAAATGTAATAAATGTCGTTCATTTGCCAGGGTCGGAAAGGGGTCTTTTTTAATTGTTTATTTGTTACATTAGAGAAGATGTTTAATAAATAAATAAATAAATAAGAGCCTCCATAAACCGCATTCAACTCATTATTATTGTAGGATGTATTCCTAACTGTGTTCAGTTTTCAGATCTCAAAATACATGAGATCATACAATATAAATGTTATTTAACATTTACAATAGTTAGGCTACTCAATTAAATTAAAGCAACTGTATAGCCTAATCGGACGAATCGAACACAATCGGTCATCTTTTTTTAAAGGCTGTTTTTCCTTTAATATGTTTCTAATTACTTTCACTATAAGTTTCTGTTTAACAGTCGTGTCGCACCCGCAACCGGAAGATTTTTAGTTTTTACATCTTTCAGTCAAGGTCTAAAAATTTCAAAATGTAATATTCCTTATTTAAAATTAAAGAAATTATATTGCAGTAGCCTTTTTTACGTTTTGGTGTGGCGATGAAATTAATTTGCAAACAAGACTGGAGATTTCAGCTAATCGTTTTGCGGAAAATCTGTAATTTTCAGTGTCATTCGTTTTCAAATTATTATTATATTGTTATTATTATTATTATTATTATTATTATTAATAATAATAATAATAAAGAATAGAACATCAATAATAACAATAATGTATTTGCCGTTGCAGTTTTATTTTACGTTCTTTAGGCCTAATCGAACATTAGATGGTTTTTATGCAAAATTATCTACAATATAAAGTAATGTTACATTTATATGTATTTAAAAAAAAAAGGCATTTATGGAGTATATAACGGGGGTGGGGGTATGGGGGGGACAAGTGGTTCAGACATGAGAGGATGCTGAGAAGCCTCAGAGAGAGTGATGAAGTTCGCCTGCACCACAGCCTCTCAGAGTTTCCACGGGAGAAAAGATCAGATTCAGCACCTGAAAAAGGTTTGCGATGTGAACTGATCACAGCCCTGTTTCAGCAACGCGTGACAAAAGAATCACATCAAATGAAGAACCTTTAAGTGTTCGTTCGTAGTGCAGCCGATTAGTCAAGATTGAGCAATTAGAACCCATTAATAACCAAACCCACATTAACAAATATAGGCTACTGCATAAAATAAACCCTAGCACAGGGATCCAGGATCCAGAATATTTGCTTCTGTGGGTTTGATATTAATATCGACCATTGCACGTGGTCAGCAGTCAGTAGCCTATCATTTGTCATTTGTGGAAATGCACAAGTGTAGGCTACCTTTAATTAAAAAAAAAATCGGATCGGATATTAATTGATGATTAAGATGTCGTGATATTCTTGTTAACAGTAGCCTACATAAAAAGCTGAAATTAATTTAGGACGCAGAAATGTGTGTTAAATTATACGCTCTAAAAGGCTTGCAGCCGCTCTTTAGAAAAATACATTTGAAAAAAAAAAAAAACATTTGTAAAAATACATATTTGAGGGGAAAAATGTATTTCATTCGCAATGCATTTTAAAGGAAAGAACATAAAAAATATCAGTGGCAAACTAGTTTCTTGCCATCTGTGAGAGCAGCATCATATTTTATTATTGATTATGAACAGGATTATGATATTATTTGACATTTATCTAAAAATCTTTCTTTGAGATTATAACTCAAAAAGGATCGGATGGACAACATTTGCATTATGATATTTGTTTAAGTAGCACAATTGCATCTGAATAGCTGAGACAATGTTGTCCTGACAAAATAACTGATAGCAGCCAGATTACACTCTCATTAGCCTAATGTCCATTACATAAGACACTCTCTTAATAAAATAATTATATCCAACGATTATTGAGTGATTTAGAGTCGAATTCAAACAAACTGCATTTGACTTATGTCACTCATATTTTATGTCAAGGATAAACGGTTTAAACACGTTTTTATAACAAACGTTCAAAGGCGCGTCATAATACAAGAATGCAAATCACTTTATTTAGAGAATTTTACATAGTTATTAAACGCGTACGGTCCATTCAGAATGTCCTTCAACTTGCCATAAGAACCCTTCCATGTTTCATAGTGTTTTCGTGAATGATTGAAGCGCAGGACTGAATCCACCTGCGGCGGAGCTCCGATGCGCCAAACAGCTAAACGCGCGTCAGAATAGGCTACCATTCAAATCTTTATTCTCACTCAGATTCAAAATTTCTAAGTCATCTAGAACCGCGCAGACAAAATGTATTAGCCTTTCAATAATAAATAACATATAATTATTTAGAGAAATATAGTTTAAACTAAACGAAAAAAATAAATATATAATTTCAAATAAATACAAATTGGTCATTCATATTTTTTTTACGGTGTTCATACGCATCTCAGCGTTGCAAATAAAGAGAGCTTATCGAGTATGAAAATGAAAGAAAAAAAGTTCGTGAGGAATCTGGAAAGATATGTGGATGGACCCCCATTGTTGGCCAAAGGGAGTCCAGGGGCCTGCGATTGTATCAGTGTGTGCATGGCACAGAGAAACCAGCCCTGATGATTAATGTTCTGCTCACCATCTCTCCCTCCACAGACTCCGACCCCCCCCCCCCCCCCCCCCCCCCCATAAACATTCTGTCCTGATAAAAGCATTCAGCCCAGGAACTTTAAAATAACTACACAATGTTAAAGAGCTGTAGATTTTACATATAGCTAGGGAAATCGGAAGTACTTTTACAAGTTGATGATGTTAAGAACTCCAGAAACAAACAGATGAAGTCAATTATGTGTGCCACAGCCTGATCTACAAAGGGTCACCAAAACAAAACCTCCCAGTCCAGACTGACCGGACGAATATTATTCACTAATGCAATTAATAAAACTAATTTCTCTTCAACACTCAGAAACTTTAAAACGAAGGCTGCAATTTGTGACAACGGGCACCAGCCACTAAACCACTCAAAGAAGTTAAGCAAAACATAGCTTACACAGTAGCAAGCATTAAAATAACTGACACCAACCAAAACATTTTTTACATTCACATTCATACGCTAAAAAAATCTAATAAAAATCATGCTCACGCTCAAACACACACTTAACAGCTGCACAGAGATGAAGCAGACACAGTGTCACACTGAGCGAGAGGGACAGCATCCCACTGACCTGCTGGGACATTCTGAAAAGGAGGTTGCTGTCAGTGCTCTGCTGTGTCCATGTCCCCATGAAGCCCGGCTCGGCGCTGGCCGGTCTGGTGCTGAACTGCATGGAGCTTTCTCCTTCTCCTCCTCCTCCCCCTGCACCGCTGCTGCTGCTCCTGCTGCTGGCTCTGGCCGTGGACTCGCGTGCCCTCTCTCGATCTTGTTCTCTCCACACCACACCGCCTCTCACATCCAACTCTGTCTCCTCAGACTGCCGGCAGAGAAGAGGGGGAAGGGGGGTGGACGGGGAGCCGGAGAGAAAAGTAAGAGAAGGTGGAGGTTCAAAAAGGCAAAGGGTGACTGCTCTGTTCTTTTTTCTCTTCTGTCCTATTCTTGCTTTCTTTTTCTCTTTCTTTCTTTCTTTTCGTTTTCTCTCTCTCTCTCACTCTCTTTGCTATCTTCTCTTGAGAGAGGGGTGAAAGTGGAGGGTCTTGCCTGCCAGTAGCAGGAAGAGTGTGTTGAGTTAATTCAGGAGCAGGGCTGCACAATGCATATTTCCTCTGGGGCATGTGGTGGTAGAGGGCAGGATGAGCGGAGTGTCGGAAGTAAGGAGGGAGGAAGAGAGGGATGGGGGTGTGAATTGAAGTGAAGTGAAGGAAGGAGAGAAAAAAAGGGGGATGGCAGAAAAATGGAGGAGGAGATGGTGAAGGAGAGTTGTGTATGGGCTGTGTATGGGCTGTCCTCCAAACATACACGGACATATATACACATACACACATTCCAAACAGAAATCAATCGTAGAGCAAACTCAGTCACCCGTACCCTGCCCTTTGAACCCCTCGCACACCTCTACATGCACAAAAACACCACTTATATTTTGCACTAAAAATACACTTTCACTCTTTCCACGTCTATGCTCTTGTAATCAAAACCAACTATTTTATCACTGCAAATAGTTCTCTTAAAAAGTTTCATTCAAAAATAAAACCAAAAGGACTTTAAAACTATTTTTCCAAGAGCCGAAGACAAATCGTCCCTCCCTTCTCCCCAAAAGGTGCCCTTTCTCACCAGCGTGTCCAGCGTGGTTTTCCTTCCAGCTGTGTGGAGATCAGGTGTTGGAGTGTGTCAGTTGCAAAGCAGCCCCTCCTCTCTCTCTCTTTCTCCTTCCCTGTCTTTCTTTCTTCAGGCCCCCTTCTCGCCTTCAGAGATGCCTGTCCTCTGTTTCCAGACTAACTCCAGCTAGAGCTGTGTCAGTGTGCATGTGCGTGCAGCCGTGAGTACATGTGTGTTGTTGTGAGGTAGAGCATGTGTGTGTCGGGCCGCAGCACGTCTGAGTTAACTGCTCCTCTCTTCTTGCTGGCACTCAATGACACGGCTCTCTCTCTCTCCTCCACTGATCTGCTTTCCCACTGAGAGGAGAGAGAGAGAGAGAGCAGGAGGGGAAAGGGTTGTCCCTGTCTTATTACCAGCTCTCCATGCCTGATGCTTCTTCACTCCAGACCTCAGTGGGATTGAGCCACTCTCTAATACATGCACTCTCACACACGCACACGCACACACACACACACACACACCGCACACACACACACACAGAACTGGCCCATTCACACAACTATTCCAAGCAAATAATGCATTTGTCAATACAATTGGACAAGCTCCAACTTCTATAATAACCTCAATGCTAAACGAAAAGACGTTTCTCAGCCTTCCAATTGCACTTTATTTTATTTTTCTTTATTTCGTTTTTACTCTTGACAGCCAGTAAACACTCAATATGTAAAAAAATATAGTTTTTAAAAAACATTTAAAAAATAAATAAATGTATAAATAAGTATTTAAATTGCATCACTTATGAATTGTGTCTCCACGTCTACTTTCACACCAGCTGGATTTAAAGCAGAATGTGTCACTAAAACTACACTAGAGCCAGGTATTTTAAGGTGGTCACACAACCACTTGATTTTTATTACAAAGTCTGATTCCTTTGTCTGTTTTTCTCTCCCCTAGTATTAAACAGCTCTAGCTAATGGTTCTATGCAATCATTCCACGCCCCCCCCCCCCAACTCCCCCTGTGAATGCGCGCACACACACACCGTCTTGTGGAGTAGTGCGGCAGAGCACATAATCATACATACTCTCCCACTCACAAACACACACACACATGCACGGAAACCTCGAGTGGATGCTTTCAGATTTTAATTAAGAAAAAAATGAGGAAGAGGCTCCATTTTTGCCAAATTGGTCCCCGCAGCAGACAGTCTCACAAAGGTGGGGAAGAGAAAGAAAGCCCTAACATATGCACTTACAATAAGTGGCGGCATCTCTTCCTCATTGTACATGCCAAAACATTTTATATGAGAAATGTGTTGTGTAATGAAGCTATTTTTTGTTATTATTGCGTGTTTTTCCTCTCATACTTTTTTCCTCCAGCACTTCTCCTGACGTCAGCTGTTAAAATTATAGTCTTTGACAATGCGAGTATGTCTGAAGAAGATGTCACCGTGATCTCCCTTCTATGAGACAGAAAGAAAGGGAATTAACTTTTCTCCCTTTCGCTACTTTAAATGGCTTCTCGTATGTAGAAAGCCACTTGAAATTTTGTGGCAATTTAAAGGAGACAGCTGTTACTGTCCGTTAAAAGCCTCTGTACAGCACTAATGACAGCTCTGGCTAACCTTTACCTGAGTAATCTGCACAGCATTTTGTCTGATCAAATCGTGTCGTCGTCTTCTTCTTCTTTTAGATTGAATAAAAAAGGCAAGAGGAATGGTGGCAGCTGCAATGAGAACTTAATATGCTGTTTTGTTTCTTTTCCTCACCTCCTCTCTCTTTCTCTCTCTCTCTCTTTCTCTCTCTCTCAAGCGAAGAGTGCCTCCGCAGTAACCAAAGACGTAAAGACCGTACATCTTTACAAGCAAATGGACACTAATGAGAGATGCTTAGAGCCCATTGTCACACACTTGTCCCCTCCATTTCATCTGTTCTCATAGACATTTTCTTGCTTAGTTCTAAATTGCCATGAATTGTTGTTTCTGAAAACAACACATGCATTAAAGTGTATTAAGAATGCCTTTTAAAAGCATGTAAAAAAAAAACATTCTACTATTTATATTTTCAATAACTCTAAATTCCAAGGAAATTGTTTCTTTATTTAGTCTCTATGGTCACATCTCAAATTCTCTTCCCCTCTTCAGTTCTCTTTCTCTCTTGAATGTGCTGGTCTCTTGATTTTCCAAGTGCAACCGAGTGTTTCAAGTCAAGCTGGCAGATCAGCTTCTGACCTCCCTATTAATAGTTGTTATTTGTGAGAGGTTTGAGAGGACTCTGACAATATCCCTTTCCCTTTTTGCGTGCTGTCCTTTTCTTTCAGTTGGTCCTGTCCTCATTCTCCCTCTCGGGGGTAAGGGTGAGCTCAGATCCTGTCATCGGCAGCAGCACTGGTAGTCAAGTAAAGCAGAGAGCCACAGTAATGGACTCCTTTATTAAAACTATTATTCTGCAAGACTTCAAATTCCCCCAAGACAAGGGCCATGTCGAAGCTGATATAATTAACTAGAGGCTCAGCTACGGATCAATTACCAGACAAGCAAGTGATAGCCAAATCAATGAAAGATCATCAGCCACATTATCTGTGTTGCAACTCATTAGAGTAAAAGAGAAGAGAGCATGCTGGGAGTCCTGGGGCTGTGGCACTGCGGCAGCACAGAGGGCATTGACTTTTCCTTAGCGACCCATGTCAGTTTTTGTGTTGGGGTCTGTGACATTTTTGCAGATGTCATAAAAGGTGTCTTTATTTCTCAAGGGTCCTCCATATGGTTTTTAAGGAACTAAGAAGTGGTGAAAAGTGGACATAATGTCTTTTTGCAAATGACTTGACATCGATAATAAACTTTGCCTGCGCTGAGGGAAGGCTGGTAAACAACAGAGAGAAAAAAATCGTTATCTGACAAGTGAATGGCAAAGTAAACCCTAATTAATTATTCATGAGGTGACATGATGATTTTTGTTCCTGTAGAGGATGGTACTAGCAAAATCAAGGTCATAGGTTTGATACCCAGGGAATGCATGAACTGATAAAATGTATAGCTTGAATCTTGAAGTCACACAAGATAGTAAAAAATGCACCTGTCAAATGCATAAATGTAAATGTAATGATTTTTATGGTGCTGTATTTTATTTACTGTTTTTTTTATCATTATTATTATTTAAAGCTGCAGTCCGCAGTTTGTGGCTCTTTGTCGCCATCTCTGTTCGAAATCTGCAATTGCAGTCATTTGCGGAATTATCAACTTTACGTAAGTTGTACTTCGACACGACACAGCGCGGATGAACACAATGTTTGAGGAGAGTGTGAGGCTGTCAGTCACCGCGCCGGTGTGGATACTGTCATTCAGAATCACAGATTATTCTTTTTGGAAGTATGACCAACATAATAATTTTAACCAGAAAATGTCATCTGAACAAGTAAGAAACATCCACCTTTGTTCTGGTTCTGACATTGCAGTAAATCGCGCTGATTAAATCTAAAAATCGCTTATCATATCACGCAAAACCGTGCAAATTATACTTTGTTCTCAAATTGTTAATGTTAACAACGTCAGCATTGCGTGACTACATGTAATGTCCTTCCGATATGTATCCTTGTTTTCGCATGGGCCGTTTGTAGTCTCTTTTTTTCTGTAGCCACTCCGAAGTCCGAACGAAGTCTTTTGCATTTTACAACGGGTGAATCTGTTGTCACTGGTGATTGTCGTTTGAACCTTTCTGGATCCGCCATCAAATTGATAAGTGCAGTGAGAAAAGGCTATAAATCTCCACCTCCAACATCCTCACTCGCAATATAGCCTACTAGCCGAGACTCCTCCTTTATGTGTACAGATGTGACGTAATGATGACGCAAAGACATGCTCGAATCTCCCGCGGAAATCCACCAGTACCACTGGAATTAAAAACATTATTACAAGCTTACCGCTTTGAATCGAGCTAAGGCAAGCAGATAGTTTTGAAAACTGGCTGGCTATGTATTTTCTCAAATATGTATTTTGGATAATTTTTAACCCCCCAAAAAAAGCTTTAAAATGATTTAAATTATTTAATTTTAATTCATTTGATTTTAGATTTCTTTCTTAAATTCTCTGTTTTAGGTGTGCAATGTCAAATAAATATAATTTAATTAAAATTGATATTACGTAATCTATGTTAGTTACTGTACCTAATAATCTATTTGATGTTCAGTTTTTTTCTGAGAAAATACAGTCTTGCATTCTGTA